GGTTAAAGACCAAATACAACACTTATTTTTTCAAGAAAAACTGTCGAGCCTCTTCCCAGGACTGCCGGGGGAATCTGTTGGACAGCTCAAGATAATCTTGAGAACTGAAAATTTTTTCTGTTGGAGACAGAACATAAAATGACCAAGTTATTCCCTCTTAAGATAAGATGGCAATAAAACGAGAATAATGCACGTGCAGCTGATAGGAGATACTTTCAGAGATTTACTCTCCTCCCTCTACCAAGGTCTTCTCAGAGCGTGGGGTGACACTCCTGAGGAGCTCAGGCCACGAGGGCTGGCTGTGCAAACGGCTGCAGAGTGCTCTGAGGAGCTTCCATTGGAGAGCCTGTGGATCAGCTCTGCTCCATGAGACATCCTCACGCCCTTCGTGCTCTCGGACCCACCAGGGACCAGCTCAGCCTTGCCCAGCTCTGGGCAGCCTCAGGGCACTGTGTGCTCAGCAGATCCTTTCCCCACAAAGGGCTGGGGAGAGGTTTTGCCCCTGACCCCCCAGAGCTCACAGCACGAGCACTACAGCAGTGAATTTGCTGGGGCCGTGCACAGCACACGGCGTGCACAGGTTTGTGGGTCTGAGCCCTGCACAGCACCCAGCAATCAACCCTGTGTGCTCAGGTTTTATTCCCACTGCTGTTACTGCTCCCATTGCATTTTTTTGGGACACCATTCTTCACGTTCAACGATATAATGGATAAAAATCATCCTGCTTATGTTAAGGCAAATTTGTCGCAACTGGGGAAACGTTTCGAAGTCATACGTCACCACATAGTTAGCTTTGTTCTAAAAGTTCATCCAGTTTGAATAGTGAAAATAAAAAGCAGTTTTCCACGTAGATTTTAGGTGTTTCTTGAGCAGATTCTCATGCAAGCACAATCCTGGAAAGTTTGTGCTGCAGGCACTGCACAAACTGCTTCAGCCTGAGAGGTGCAATGCTACCAGTGAAAATCTCTATAAAGTTGTGTTAATTTTATTTCCTATCATTTATTTATAAACACAAAGCTTATGTTTTAGACCTAGAACTGCTCACCCTCTGCCACACACGGAGCAAATGGTGGTGGATTTCTGCCTGCTCTGAGGGAGCAGCAGCACAACAGCAACTCGAGAGCAGACACAGCAACACTTGAATTTCAGACGTGTTTAGCAAGTAACAGCCACCTTAGCTGACAGTCTTTCAACTGTTTAGCCTAAAGAGGTTAACTGCATTTTAAACAATATTTATAATAACTGAGGGGGGAAAAAAAAGTCACAACTCTTCTGCAAACTGACAGAGTTTCAGGGACAATTCCAGGACAGGATTTCTGGCTCCCTGGCTGCACTGGCTGCTGCAACCTACACCCCTGTGACAGCTGATTCAGTATGTGCAGGTACAGTATCACATTTAAGACCTGATACCACAGAGCATTTAATAAAGACTAACAGTCTGAATCCCTGATAGGAGCAGGAGCAGCAGACAAGAAGACATGAGTAAGCCACGAGTAAGTCAGAGTGTGAGCTCAGGAGCCTCTCCCCAAACTGCAAAATCAGGCTGCAAATTACTCTATTTCTTGTATCATGATGCAGATGCAAAAAATTTTAATCACAGTAGAATATAAACACCTAAAGGTTCTGTTACCCAACTGCTGCTCTGTCAACAGAGCACTGAACCTACCTCTCTGCTGAGACAACTGGTTATCCACTTGGCCTGAGCTCTGTGCAAAATCCTATGAAAAAAAAACCCCAACAAAAAGGCATCAGGTTTTCAGGTCTTACACCAGAGGAATTAAAGTAACATTTTTAAGTCTTCAGTCACTGAAAAATACCAATACTTTATGAAATCTGTAAATGAACAAACTCTGCCTTGTTTGCTACATATAACTGCCAGCACCTGAATTCTGTAAAGTACAGTGGATTTTTATACCTTTATTTACAGCTGCTTTGAAAAAGTATATTTTTAGTACACAACAGAGAAACCAAAGCTTTAATATCCTCTTAGGAAATAGTTATCACTGTGGTTTTTATTTACTGTAGCTGTGTTCCTGTAAAACAAACGGTGAGTTAGATTTATGCTCCTGACTCCAAGTTCACTCTTAGGAAATCCGTGAACTATCCCAATTTCCACGGCTGTGCTCCCCAGCGATCCTGGAGCCTGAGTCCTGAACTCCTGGGACCTCCTGGGTCCTCCTGGGACCATGGGAGATTCCTCCCAGGGGTGATCCAGAGCAGGGTGTGATCCCTGCTGCCGTGGGGAGCCAGCAGGACACGACCGCGCTCGGCACCACCTCGGATTACACCAGCCCAGCACAGATCCCTCCTCCTGCTGCAGCATTCACGGAGCAGGGAAAGTATCACCTGACAGAATGAGCAACTCGTGGATGCTCCTAAACGATTTGTAAATGTTTCTGTGTATCTAGAAAGAGAAGGAACAAAACCAGACAGCAAAGTTGTGGTGCTGGAAGGGCACCCGTGGGTAGGGAGGTCGCTGTGAAATCCAGCAGAGCTTTCCCTTTGCTTGTTGCTGCACACATTTAACACACTGTATTTAAGTGTTAGATTCGTACACATCACCACACTTCTAGGCAAACAGCACTACTTCTTTCATTTTCCAGTCACAGGGCGACATTTGACAGTCTCTCCCAACCTTCCAAAGGAGAGATTTGCTTGACAAACAGCAGCAAGTTGAAATAAAAGCAGAGAGGCAAATCTCCTCTGCGTGTGCAGGATCTGAGCACTCCTCGGACCCTTCCAGAATTTTCTCTGGGATGAGGTTTGAAAACGGGCAGAATACTGAAGCAGCAGTGAAGTCAGCAAAGACAGGACATTCCAGCACACAGAGCTCTTCCGTATTTCACTACAACACCTCTTTGAAAAGCCTGCAAGAACATGGGCTTGGCACCTGAGATATCTCTCTGACCAGAACTCAAATCAGTAACGTCGACCCTTGTAAATAACCTTATGCTCTACCATAGCTGCTGGGGATTTTCAGGCCATTCCGTCTCTTATAGCACAGAAATCAAGGAAAATAACCTTAACTGTTCATATAAGGAACACTTCCCCCACTTGGCTGAAACAAACCCAAACTAAACTTGCTGCACTTACTCATAATGCTGAAATTATTTTTTGCCACTGCAACTTCTACACTGAGATCTGCAGCTTCACTACAATAAAGTCAAAGATGAATTATGGTTGTGTATTTAACCAGAAGTTCATGACTATAAAGCAAATTCTTTTAATCCTAAATTCCAAACGTTTTTTTTTAAAAATGCTGCTGTGAAATTATTTTAGCATTAAAAGGATAAAAAGTAGTTTCATTCACAAATTTGATGTTATTTACTTTGAGTCAATATTTAGTTCTTGTACCTTCCCTCCCGAATTTGTAGCCTATCCCTGGACTAGCTGTAAAAGGAAAAAAGAGTTGGAGTAACACTTCTGTATGGACAACAGTAAACTTTGAGTGACTGATACAGAGTTACCAGAGTCCTAAAAGCATATAGTATTTTACAGGAAAGTGAAAACTCTATTTATTCCTTGGAAACAGTCAATCAAAGGTATGGAAAACGTGAGGCAAGCAAAAAATCTGATACGTAAAGCAGCTTATGAATTTAGACAAAGGAAGCAGAAATGCTGCAAACCCTTATTTCCAGGCAGTTCTGGTACTGACCTCGGCAGCTCAGTGTCAGGAATAAAGATTGCAAGACCAGACCAGAAACATATGTTCTGTGTATTTCCTGCATGGAATATATACACTCCTATTCAGTTCTCTCTGTAAATCTGTGGTACACAGTATACAACTGTACATTTGGATGTAAACACATTAATATACCAATTTCAGATATGCTACATGTGCAGGAGTTTAAAAACTGACTGTTTTACGAATCGCTCTGTAACAGCATCAAACCTTCTCAGGGCATCCAGCAGCTCTACAGGAGCACAGAGCTCTCTGTGGACAGCCAGAACCTGATCTGCTCTGCAACCTTTCGTGTCACAAGATGCCTCAAGTACAGGCGTAATCTGTGGTCTGAAAAGAGCTGCAGAGAATCTGAAAGTACTTGAGTGCTGTTGACTTGTTTGGCTTAGTTGAACGATTCCCACACACAGCAAGGAGGGAAGGGCTGCAGTGACCCCAGCACTGCTGCAACAGATACCTGAATGAAGGTGGCCAGCAAAACACAGCTCATCTCCTGCTCCAGGATGATCTTGTTCTGAGGGTTATTGTAACACGCAGCTATCAGCGAGGGGAAGAGCACTTTGATTAAACGAGGATCGCTGAAATACTGGAAAGGCAACTGGCAGAGCTTCTGCAGCACCGTGGGGTGACGGCCGGACTGGACAATGAGCTGCAAACACAAACACAGCAAAACTTAGCCACGTGATCCATCTGCCCTGCTCTTCCTGCTAACCACCAAGGGTGCTGGAGTCATGCTAAAAAAATGAGCACGGCTGAGGAGTAAGTACTAAAAATAAAGCTTACAACATTTAGCCCAAATAACTTCTGTTTCAGTGTGCAAGTATCATTTTTATGGCAGGGGGGAATAAGGAATAGAAAGCTCTGAAACTCCTTTTTCCTGGATCGCTTAAAAAGACAGCAAGAAACTGAGAAGGGGATTATCTGCAGATCACAATAAAATAGATCATTTAATACCTTAGTTCAAAAGACAAAGAATTATAGCAAAGGGACTATCGTTGTTAGAGCACGAAACACAAAACCCCAACGCCATGGAAACACACTAAGCATGTTTTTACTGGGGGAAAAACCCAGAGAGAGATCACCAGGGCTGTAAAAACCCTCCCAAAGCTCCACCATCCTGTCCTAGAGTGCTCAGTGGCCATTAGAGGACTGTGTTTCAGGGGAGGTGTCTGCCACACATTCTCAGGCCCCAGAAAGAAAAGGTGATTGTGAGCTGCACCGCGAGGAGTTTCAGTAAGGAGAGACCCAGAGAGATCCTCCCATCTGCATTTCTTATCACAGTTTCTATCAGTGCCATTGGCTCTAAAAGGAGAATTGTTTAGATAAATGGGCCTGTTGTCATGAAGGAGGCTAAGTTTACAACTGTGTACATCTGAAGGAATAAGGCAGTGCTATTCCTGCTCTCCTGCAAAGGAACTTTTCCAATTTACTTGATATTCTCATAAAGGCTTCGTGATAAACTCAGCAGTGCCCGAATCGGATCCGTTCCAAGAATCCCTGATTAGACAACTGCAATATGAAAGAGCTGTCTGACCCAAAGTTGGCTTTTAGCATAGGAGGAAGCTCCTATAGGGCTGGAACACTGTAAAACTGAGGGTCACGACTGTAAATTGTACTTGGAAAAACACAATTTTACAGGTACACACCCAGACAAGACTGCATTCAAATTAAAACCAGAAGGACAGAAAGAAGCAGTTGAGGCCACGGGAACATAAATTACAGGGATTTACAAGTTTTCAAAGCACTTTTAACAATACCTCCAGAGCACACACTAACTTGATAATGCAGTTCAGTTTAAATACAAGATCAACAAAGTAAGGGTTTGCATTTTTTTCAGATCACCAGTCAAAAAGAGACTGAAAACCTTCCAAAAATACGGGTGGCGATGTTTTAAGGTCTTTAAAGACAGGAGGAATTTTTCAAAGACAGATAAATAAGTGACAATTAACATACTGTTTTGAGGGGAATCTCTCTCTGAAGCATTTGGCTGACTCTGACCCCATTAGTTGCCACCCCACGAGCAGGAGGTGCTCTCTGAGCCTGGGAGTGCTGCTGGAATTGTAAACTGATCAGCATGGTTAGTATACAAATATATTTTTCTGTGGTACATTCAACAATCAGAAAAGTACTTACTGGTAATTGTACTAAAATGACTCCAATTCTATTTCTGGTCCAGGACAAAACAACAGAACTGATTTCTTTTTAACAGCCACTACACCCTGTAATGGCAATGAAGCTTTGGGGACTTTTCATTTTTCATTTCACTTCCTTTACCTGTCCCAAAATGCCACGGATAGTTAGTAAACTCTTGCCAAATTAACACTGCAGATACCCAAATTGCTTCTATAGAATTATTATTTCATTATCTTTTTCTTTCCAACATTTTTACTACGACGATGTTATCAGCACCAGAGGTAGGAAGGTATGGACAAGGGCTGCTGCCTGGTTTAATCTGGTCTTTATCACATGTGGAATCAATTTAATGATTTCAGCTCGTTGTACTAATGCAGCTACTAAACCTGATACACTATATTATGTACTCTGAAGAAAAAAACCTATGAGTCACCCCTGAGTGGAAAAAACCCAAGCAAATAAACCTGTAGCAGAGCACATACTCCTCATTTCACTGTCAGCGGGTGGAGAAAGTGAAGTCCAGCACTTGACTTCGCAGATGAACAGCAAAGAAAACAAATTAAAAACTTGCACTTCTCTTTCTTGACTTTTTTCCCTCCGCCCCCCTTTTTTTTTTTTTTTACAACAGTCACTAGGCTTAATGATCCCAGAGAGTTCTGCAGGCCTGGAATATTGAACACTCATCTTACAAACTGCTCTAACACGAGGTCCAAACTCCTTGCTGAAACCCAGCTTGCCTCTCCCCTGCCACATGCTGGGACCCAGGCACATTTACCTAGAACTAGCTTTTCTTGTGGCTCTCTCTAGCCTGAAAGTCAGATATGCCTGTCAGACGTAACGAGATCCTAATTAAATCACTGCAGTTCTGTACAGCCAAGCGTTTAAGCACCTGCTTAACTTCAGCTCTCTGCCCAGGTCCCACTAATATTTGCTTGTGGTTTTCTTTTTCTGAATTGAGACTTATCAAATCAGTCCAAGCTACATTTTTTTTTTCAATCCACAGCAGGCAACTCACACTCGTTTTCTATATTTCTTTTGAAATTGTTGCTTACTCTCAAGAATCTATAGATATTCATACAACTTGGTTTGTTTTGCCTGTGCTTAGACAGAATAAATTCCAGTTTAGCTTAGCTTATTTATGGCCCAACACACTGTAAATGTTAGAACAACCCTGTGAAAACCCAAACTAAGCACAGGTAAGAGACACATGGTGAATTAATGAAGTTTCCTTTGTGCTCCCAGCCAAGCCCCAGGCCCTGACACAGCTTGGAGGTGGAGAGACTCAGGGCTAACACACCACAAAGCACTGACCAACGGCCTGTCTGCTCTCAATGGAAAACCCTGCTGAAAAGGACAGGCTAGAGCAGCTTCACTCCTCTCTTTTAACACTCCAATTTTCTCTGCTTGGTGTCTCTCTGAATTTCCAGGTCTCCTACTCCATGCACGCTGCGGAGCCAACTGTCCAGCACGTGACTGATGTGATGACCTGGGGGAACTTTTCACTGAGCAACACCTTTCAAGCTTGCCTATCAGTTATCCTCTGTCACTCCCACCAGTTTATAGCCTCCGGCAGGTCCTGCTAATTTGCCTAATCTCCACTAGCCAGTGGGTCAGGCTCTCTCCTCTGCCCTCCCAGCAATCCATGCTCCCGTGTGACTCTCTGGGAAATGCACTCTGCTCTCACAAGTGCAACAATCATCCAATGCACTGTACTGCTGTTTCTGAAGTTTATCACTGAGGAAAGCATGATTCATGATTTCTGAAGTCTCTAGAAGGAATCCATGTTTTCCTCACGTTTACTTGGGCCAATATTCACCATGCAGTGTATTGCTTGGCCGTTTGCTGCAATTCTTCTCGCTGTGAGAGCCTGAAGCAGAATAAAAGTCAGTCTTTCAAAACAGCCTGCAATGACAAAAGCCAGCAATATGCCACACAGCACTTGAGCAATAAAAAAGGACAATCAATCAAAAAAAATTAAAGGCTCCTTGTGGTATGGAACAGCCATAAAGTTGTGTGGGGAGCTCATCATTCCACTGGGTGCTGAGGCTTCCCCTGTCACCCAACTGGGGTGTCTGGCCACACACCTGAGGTGACTGCTGCAAGGATATTCCATCCAGGATTGGGCAGCTCTTCCTTGTATTCCCACCAGGACAGCTCCAGCAGCCTTCCTCTCCTGCCACTGCTTCCTGGCACCTTGCAAAGGAGAACTTCCCAGGACTGAAGGTCTTTGCTAGAGGACTAATAAACCATATGGGCCCAAACCCCTTGGGTACAATTTTCCTTTGGGTAGCAGAGGGGAATGTTGCAGCTCATTTCATTTCTCAGTGAACCTCCAAGGGCCCCAAAATAACTTCCTGATGCTCCTGCAGGAATGAGAATCATAGAAATGCAGCTCCTTTTCTTCTAAGGGCAGGGAGACAACACTGGCACACACAGGGGAACCTCTGCCTGAGAACTAGCAAGGGAAAGATGATCCTACTTACACTCCATAAATACATATATTTGTGCTTCATTTAATCTTTCTCTGCATTCCCTTTACCATCAGTGAAAACTACCATTGCTTTTAAATGCATATATATATATATATATATTTGTCAAAGGAGGGTAATAAAATCCTCATAACTATCAGGATCCAGATCCTTTGGATGATATGGCAATGACCACAGAAAGTCCCAGCAGTTACATGTCAAATCTGACCAAGTCAACAGTTACTTTTACAGACAATGAAAATAAGAATCCTCTAGCATTTAAAACCAGATTTTCCTCATCAGATAACTGTGTATAAGCATCTTGTAAGTGATAAACAGGAATTTCATTGAGAAAACTGAAATGTCAGCCAGAAGGCTGAGGAGTGACTGTATGTGAAATACTGAACAAGAATTAGTCAAACTGAAGTTCATGTATTCATATCACTCATACATTCACATGTTCTAATTAGACATGTAATGCAGATGTATGCTACTAATTTATCAGAACTAGCAGCTCAATCAAACTGCCTTGTAATTTATCTTAACTATGGGGTAACACTTCTGGTGATAGCCTAAGCTTCTGTTTCCAAGTTGTAACTGCACATCCATAAAGCATTTAAAAACAGAGAAATTAACTGAATTGAAACCTCTGCCCGCAACTTTCCAGAGACTTAAAGAAGATTACAATCCCAAATTGGTTTCCAATGGTTCTATGCATGCATGTTACATATGGTCAAACATTTTACTACAAATAGCAAAAAAAATGGTTCAGTCTCAGAGCAAGAACTTTTTCACTGCTTGTGTACTACGCAAGGTTAGTCCAGGATTACTGCAGAATGGAAGTGCTGATTTTTAGACCAATATTTAGTCTAGTTCTACTGGTGGATTTAGGTTTTCTCGTTTCACTTGGACATTTGCAGCTCTGTAAAGACATCACTCATGTCAGATATTTCTGTCAATATATACAATAAAACCACTGGAATTATCTTGGGAAGCAGCTCATTAATTCTCTGGTCAGGAAGAAGAGAAAGCCAGGAGTAAGCTTTTG